TTAAACCGTACAAAAGCATTTTCTGTGCCCATTGGTTCCTACTTTACAATAAATTCATCAAAACTTAGAACTGAACCATGTATGTCTTAACTCCGTAGTCATTTGTTTTCATCTTAAGTGAAAACTTAGAAAATGAGAAATGGTCTTTAATAAAATGCATCACAAACCCATTTTACCTTAATAACCTAGTTGTGCCCATTTTTAAAAAACATGGCACTATTAAACACCCCCTCCTCCCCTTTGAGTCAATTCCAAGTTTTATTAGCCTAAGATAAAGAACTGTTTAAATAAATCTTCATAGCCTCAGACCAACCCCTCATGGCTTGGAAAACAATCCATTTTTTCAAATGTGACCTCCAATAGTGTTTAATGTTAGTGCAAAGTACCTATCACCTAACCCTCCCAAACAAAACAAGCAGTCGTATCTAACTACTTTCTAAAAGTTTTGAGAAAGTAACTTGGGAGACAAAGGCCCTTGTGCACACACACCACGGAGCTTTTTATTGGTCCTCTGCATCACCCTCTCATTTTTTAAATCTGCCAGTGTTCTCTGGTAATGTGATCTAATCATCTTAATCAAATGGCCAATCTACACAACAGCATATAATGATGCATGTATCAGGTAAAAAATCTTACTAATGCACTACTGGTAATGCATCAACTTTAAAAAACCCCAAAAATACTACAAACAATAGTTGTACTTAGTGGGTGCCACAAAGTTTACAACAACTCAAGCTACCCAGTAAGATCATAACCTATCCTCATTCTGAGATGCTGGGGCCCATCACTGTAGTGTCAATGCATCTTGAGGGCTTTCTTCCTTTCTCTGACATTTCCTCCCCATTATGGGTTGTTTTTTGTTGTTTGGAAATTTTTTTTCTTCTTCAAATAACTAGTCCATCCTGACACAACCAAAGTATCTGAGACAAAGTGAAAGAAATGAAGACTTTAAGAATTAGAACATTCAGAAAACTAGAACTTCAGTATTTTAGAGTCCTTTTTAAAATTTGCTTCCTATGCATCTGAAAATTACACAATGCATAAGGATGTCAGAATTTAACCTTTTGATCCCTGATGTTGGTGAATACTGACTTGCCTATTACCAATAGAAGAGACAATTTTGTCTTGCAGGAAGGGCACCAAGATACTCCTTAAGAGGTAAAGACAATGAAACTTTGTCTCACATACTCTATGTTTACAGGCCAGTCTGTGGAAAAAGATGTTAGGAACAAAATGGGTTTACAGTGACCAACTACAAGCTCCAGTAGTTCTGGTGGCTTAGTGGTTAGTAGTTGTTGTGCCAATCCAAAGGCACTCGGTTGGAATCCACCAGCTGCTCCGTTAAGATATGCCCTCTCCACCCTCCATCTACTGCCTCTGAAAAGCTAAAGGAGGGCTGGCTACCGGTCAATTCTGACCCACTGAACCTTTATTGGCTCAAGCACACAAAAAACGTTAGCAGAGACTATGGCAGGGTTCAGACATCAATAGTTCATAGGATAGCTGTAAGTTGTTATAATATTGTGTGCCACTAAGTTAGCATTGCTGATCGAGACAATTTCCAGATGATTGCTCATCCTCCCAAGGGGCAGTTAGTGGATTAGAAACCCATGCCTTTGGGTTTGCAGCCGTTTACCAGTAAGCCATGCGAGTTCCCCAAGTTCATACAGGAGCTATTTGTATCCACTTAATAGCACACAGCTTTCAGTGATTCTTTACTGCTTAATGGACTCCTTTTGGCAGCACAAATTCTTGGCTGCTCAGTTTGATGGTTTGAAGCTTCTCAAGGGTGTCTCAAGGGTGGCATGTGATCTACTTGTAGCAGACATGTTAAAAACCCTGTCAGGCACTCTATTCTGAAACTAAGAGGTGGCCAAAAGCCAGAATAGATTCTATGGCGATTGGTTTGAATTATCCTTGTACTGCTTAACTGTACCCTTGACCACCACCAGTTTTAACTTAGATGTTCCAATTATATGCAGATTTTTCTTGTTGCTCTAATCCAAGTGTTGTTTAGGAGATCATATAAACTCTTTGGTTTCCAGTAAATTTTTTATCCCAGTAAAAAGTAATGTTCTACAGTGTGAGTAGAGTATGGAGTGTGCAGCAACCTTACCCTCTTATTCAAGGGTCGACTATGCTTATTGCTGGGGAAGGGGAAGCACTGAGAATCTAAAGCCTTATGCTTTCATTATTTCTCATGGTCAGTAATGCAAAATACTGCTGGTTCTGGGTTTAGACGGAGGTGGGGGGAGTAACTAAAAGTACAAACTCCAATAGCTTCTGATACAAGTGTAGTTGTGACAAACTGAGAATGTTAATGTCAGATGAAGCATTGGAATTATATAGAATCCAAACGGTCAGAATTCCTTGCTTATATAAAAAAAAAATATTAAGTACTATACCACAGTAAATTCTTTGCTAAGGGCCAAAACAAAAGTGTGGACAAAGACTAGTTTAAGCAGATGTTATGTGACGTCGAGTCGCCTGCGACTCATAGCGACCCTATGTACAACAGCCCTAAACTCCGCTGTCCTGTGCCAATCGCACTGTCTCCGACACTCCCATCCCAATTATCCCAGTCATGGAATCAATCCACCTCATAGAGGGCCTTCCTCTCCTGCGCTGTCCCTCCACCCTCCCAAACATGATGTCCCTCTCTAAGGACCGGTCTCTCCTCACAACATGTCCAAAGTATGTTAGACGGAGCCTCAGAATCCTTGCCTCCAAGGAGCCACCCGGTTTAACCCTTTCCAGGACAAATCTGTTTATTTTCCTAGCAGTCCATGGTATTCTCAATACTCTTCTCCAGCACCACAGCTCAAAAGCATCAATTCTCCTTCTATCCTCCTTGGTCATTGTCCAGCTCTCTGATGCATAACAAGTGATTGCGAAGACCATGGCCTGTATCAGATGCACCTTAGTCTCCAGAGAGACACCACTGCTCTTCAGTACTTTGGAGAGGTCCATAACAGCAGACTTTCCCATGGCAATGCACCTTTTAATTTCCTGGCTACTGGTGCCAAGACTGTTGACTGTGGAGCCAAGCAAACTAAAGCTGTGTACAATCTCAATCTCTTCACCATCCATCCTGATGCTGCCAATTGGTCCAGTGGTGAGAATCTTTGTCTTCTTGACCATTGAGCCTCAATCCATATTGTAGGCTGCAGTCCTTGACGCTCTGCAGCAGGCGCTTCAGGTCCTCTTCAGTTTCAGCAAGCAGAGTTGTGTCATCCGCATAACGCAGATTGTTGATAAATCATTTAAGCAGATAGCTAAGAAAACTAATTTGCTACATCTGAAAACTAAAAATGGAGAAAAAGCTAAACTACAAATCCTTTCTTCTATTTGCAAACATTAAAGAGTCCTCACACAAGCTAATTTAAAAGTTTAGTTTATACAATTGATAATTCTGCAAACTCCACAATATAAATGGCAATGACTACATGTTAAATATTGTAATAAAAATAAACAGTCATTAGAATTCTATGGTGCATTAAGAATAATCTAAAAAACAAATTATGAAGAAAGGTATATTTAATAAATTAGGGAACAGCTGAAACTACTAATTGGGATAAAATCTGAACTTTTATATTATGTACAGAAATGCAGGAGAAACAAAGAAAACAAATGACTACATTGTTGCAGCACAGAAAGACTATGTGTACATTAACAATTACATCCTCTCTCCTGTAGCAGGGCATACAGAAGTTACCAAGCACAGGAACAATTTCAGTATTGGAAGTGAATCCTCAAACAGAAAAGTAGATACCACAATATGCCACTAAGTAGCTTACTGTGATTTCACACCAAGTTGAAATAAGAAATGGAAAAAAAAAATTAGAAAGGCACACATAAGCTGATTCCAAATATTTTAAATCCAGGCTACTTTTTTAGATACAATGTTTAGGAAATTATCAATAGCAAAAAAGTTTTTAAATTAACATTTCCCAAAAACACAGAATTTAAGAATAATGGATTTGTTCCAAAAGTTACATTTAAAGAAGTGTTATGAATCAGGAAATAATGAGAACTAACGTTTAAAAAGGAAAAGATTTAAAGACATCTATAGTCAGTATGAAAAGAAACTGAATGTTTGAATTTGGAGTTAACAGGTATGTTTTCTAATTCAGTTCTCACTACAGTCATGCTTATTTTAAGTTCTATCTTTATAGGTATTAACTGATTTAGACCCTTACCACAATTAAGACTTACTGAAGAGCTCAAAACTAAAGCAACAGCTTTTTTCTTAGCATGCACACACAAAATAATCTACCTTTTTAATAATTTCATTAACTCGTTTTCAATTTTCAAGACTCATTAGCCAAATTGTCTCAAAATTAATAGGAATAATTTTGTCTACTTTTGAGGGCATGTTTACACATTTTAGGTAACACTTTCTATCCAAATCCTTTTCTTGATGTTTTAATACCAGATTTAAATACAAAGGATAAATGAGGCAGATCGAGTGTATAAATGAAAAATTCATCCATGAAACACTACATGCAAACAAAAACCCTTGTAAAATGTTTAAATGTGTTTGTCCCAAAATAAGCATGCAAATACCCTATGAACTGAAGATGATTTGACTACCTCAGCCTTTTTTAAAAGGAAATAATTAGTAAGTTCTTTCTGATGGCCTACTTGAAAAAGAATCTAAGATACCATACATTTTTTAGAAGCTTCCCCTGCCCAGTCTTTATTAAACATAATTATGATGATTTTTCTTAAAATCTAAAACGAGGCACAGGTCTGAGAATTTTTTTTCTCTTCTGAGTGCTGTTAGTCTTAAAGGTAACACTGATGTCATCATAAAGTAGGTATTTGTAAAAATAGCCATTAAATTCTAATTCACAAGTATATTTAATGTATATATAAATCCTAAGTCAAAAGTATAAATGAGAGGAAATATAGCATAGTTCTAAGACTCCTAAATTGTTGACCATCAAAAAGTAAACCCTTCTTTTAAGACTTAACAGAACTTAAAAAAAATTGCTTAAAACATAGGAATTTAAGACTTTACTTTATTCAGCAAAATCATTTATTTACACAATGGGGAATGCTGGTTTGATTTTGTCAATGAAATAAAAACAGACTGAACAGAGAAAATACTGAACTGTATATAGATATATATATTTTGTATCAGAGTTGACCAACTGTTTCCTTACCTGTATCAGGAACATCAAGAGCAACAGTATCACAAGGACACTGGTTTAACAATATACAGGTCCAGTAATACCCTGGGAAATTTTCTATGCAATTACTAACTTTTCCTTTTTTTATAAATATATAAAAAAATCAAAAAGTCAGCAAAACCAGCATTATGGTGTAATAAACAGAGTATAACTCTGAAGTCAGTGAGCTAGTAAATCTTACCAGACCATCCATAGTTTATACAAAGTGATCTTTGTTCTTCAGACCACTAATAGAGAATCCAAAGAAGTGAAAACAGATCTCACGTTTCAGAAGACAACAATGATATGATAAAGATTTGACTTAATGGAAGGTAAAGAGGGGAGGAAAAGGAATTGCAGAGCATAGCCCCATCAGAACAAGCTATTTTCCCATATTTTCCAAATTAAAATAACAAAAAACAAAACAAAAAAAAACACTTCAACATGAAGCTACCATACAAAGTTTTTCCATTTTTTTTTTTTTTTTTTAAAAGTTCAGAGTTTGCAATTTAATCCTGGGTTTTTAAAGAGAAGGACAATTTTGGCCTGGACTTTCCCTTGCCCAGGATCATTTTTTGTTCTTCTTTTTGTTGACGCTGTCGCTCCTGTTCTAGTTTCATCCTTTCCTCATGAATCTTTCTCTGTTCTTCAACAATTCTCAACTGCTCTTCAGCCTAAAAGATAAAAATAAAAATCAGAATTGTCTAGGTCATCGAACAAAAAAGATCTTGGAAATTATAAATTATAAAATGTGAATATACAAAATACAGCATATTTCATGAAAAGTGAAGCAATGACACGTTCATTGCTCCTACACAGTTCCATTTGACAATGGAGTAAACTATAGGAGAAAACTAAAAACCAATTGTTGTTGTTATGTCCCGTCGAGTCACTTGCAACTCATAGCGACCCTATGTCCAACAGCCCTAAACTCTGCTCTGTCCTGTGCCAATCGTACTGTCTCTGACACTCCCATCCCGATTATCCCAGTCACTGAATCAATCCACATCATAGAGGGCCTTGCTCTCCTGCGCTGTCCCTCCACCCTCCCAAGCATGATGTCCCTCTCTAAGAACCGGTCTCTCCTCACAACATGTCCAAAGTATGTTAGACGGAGCCTCAGAATCCTTGCCTCCAAGGAGCCACCCAGTTTAACCCTCTCCAGAACAAATCTGTTTGTTTTCCTAGCAGTCCATGGTATTCTCAATACTCTTCTCCAGCACCACGGCTCAAAGGCATCAATTCTCCTTCTATTCTCCTTGGTCATTGTCCAACTCGCTGATGCTTAACAAGTGATTGCGAAGACCATGGCCTGTATCAAACGCACCGTAGTCTCCAGAGAGACACCATTGCTCTTTAGTACTTTGGAGAGGTCCCTAACAGCAGACTTTCCCATGGCAATGCACCTTTTAATTTCCTGGCTACTGGTGCCAAGACTGTTGACTGTGGAGCCAAGCAAACTAAAGGTGTGTACAATCTCAATCTCTTCACCATCCATCCTGATGCTGCCAACTGGTCCAGTGGTGAGAATCTTTATGTCTTGTTGACACTGAGCCTCAATCCATATTGTAGGCTGCAGTCCTTGACCCTCTGCAGCAGGTGCTTCAGGTCCTCTTGAGTTTCAGCAAGCATGGTCATGTCATCTGCATAACGCAGATTGTTGATAAATCGTCCACCAATTTTGACCCCACATTTCTCCTCATAAAGCCCACTTCTAAAAACCAATTACCGTGAACTATATCTTAAAGTCAGTATAAATTTTTTCTATTGTTTATTTTTACTTATACCATCAGTAAAACAAGTGACTGCATTGTCAATTATAAACCAGTGGATGGATCTATTGGGAGGGCATTATTTAGTAACAAGGAGTCCTGGTGGTGTACAGCGTAATGTGTTGGTCTGCTAACCAAAATACTGACAGTGACAGCCTGAATCTACCAGTTCCTCTCATGAGGGTTTAGAGCCTCAGAAATTTGACTGAGGGTTAATGAGAGTCAATACCGACTCAAGCGCAGCAAGTGTATTTTTCTTTTTAATTCAGTAACACTATATAATTGGAAATGTGTAACTTTTTTTAGGGGAAAAATCTGTATTAGGGCTAAAATGTAATGACAAATATTGAAAACCAAGAATCACATAAAAATTAGAAAGTCTTTCTGACCAGCTATCTCATTTCAAATGTACTTTAGTTTATATAATTAACTTCCTCAATACCTTCAACTTCTTCAGCCTAAAGCAACCAGCTTCCTTCCTATATTGTCTGCATGTAATTGTCTCTTTAAAAAGAAAACTAAGGTGATTCTTATGACCACCTCTTTTCCAAAGATAGTAAACCAAATTCCTCAATTTGGCAACGTGTATCAATGATTCTTGTTTTCAAACCTGCTAACAGTATCTTTTTGTTAAAAGCAGAGGGCATTACAATGCACAACAGTACAGACAAAAAAAATCCCATCTCTTCCAGTGGCTAAGGTTTTTTAAACTCTGCTTTTATTTCAAATTTTCAAGCTGTTACCACGTTAGCTTCCACCAGCCTTTGTTTCTTCTTGATCACTGCATAAAATATATTGAACTGTTTCCAAAAGTCAAATTTTAAGAAGTTGTGGCTTCCACCTCCACTGAATCATTTATGAAGGCTTTAGTAATATAAGTCATCAACTCAAGTTTTCATAACAGCTCTAACTATCCCTTAAGAAAGTATAATAGAATCTTAGGGAGTAGAGAAGAATGCATTATAAAGCATAACCTTAAAACCACAACACTTAAAAAATTTAACTAAAATGAAAAATATACCACCTTTTTTTGCTGTCAAACCGACAGAATTCCAAAGTGTCTGACTAGTATATGCTCTGAGGTACTTGAGCCCCATATATTTCTGCTGCTGTTGACCATCACTGAGTCTGAACCCATCTCTCTCTCATATACCTTGAAGTGGCAGCACAATTTTTTACCACTAAGCTCCTCATGCATCACTAGATTACAATCAAATGCCACAAACCCAAAGCTAAATAAAATAGCTAGTTTTATAACTAAGATTGTAAAATTTTAATATTTTGCAATCTCAATTATTTCTTTAGAATAACCTTTTGCCAGCATTTTCTGAGACTTAGTTACACATTTATACTTAAACACATGTACAATAGGTACATTTACAAGGTTATTTACTGCAACATTGTAAAGCAATCCACCAACATGGCAACAGTTAACAAAAACAGAATAGGGGGAGAGGGAGAAGACACAAAGAATTTTTTTTAAAAGAACTCTAAACACTAAAATGCAAAAAAAAACTTCAAAAATAACAAAAAGGAAACATTTAATGCCTGACACTGTAGTAGAGTATGCTACTATGTATAAAGAATAAGAATGTACATACTTATAGTGGATACATTAAGCATTTTGTGAGTTGGGAAGATTCACAAAAGAAAAAAATACCTAACCATCCCTCCTGAGAATGCAGATTAGGAAAATTGGAAAAAGGTGTAAATGTTTCTTGTTTTCTGAGAAGAACAAAATAAGACAGAAACGCCACAACCCCTAAACAAAAACCTCTCCTACACAAAACCATGTGATTATACTACTAATCTAAATATTAATTTTTTTTTAGTAAAACATTAAATGTTGACATTTTACCAGACTATATAGGGTAAAGGGTTTCCTATAAAAAACAAAGCAGCTCAAGAAAAATGTTACAGAAGTAAAAACTAGGGAAATTAGTTTCACTACCTTTATTTGTCTGTAATTAAAGCTAAGAGAAAGCATTTGAAACAAACAAGTAATAGCAGTGAAACTAGCAGTTAAAGGTATTTCATAAACAATGTGTGATAATTCCTGAGAACAGAAGGTTAAACAAAGAGGAATTCACTTTTCTTTGATGCAAGATGATGATGTTCTTAAGTATCACTGAGTCTGAGCCAACTCAGAGAGGCAGTAAATTGCACAGGAGGAGATGCCCATCTTTCTCTCCAGTGGAGCAACTGGTAGATTGGGTTGACATTTGCAAAGCTCCTTAACCACTAGGCCACTAGGACTTCACACTGAAGCTAGGTAAAAGACAAAGGAGAGGCTGATCCAGATAAAATAATTCTACTTTTGTTATCTCTTAGCACTCTGGTGACCTTATTTGTAAGGGAATTAAACTACTGACCTATGGTGGAAACTCTCAGGCTATTTGAATCCACCAGTGGTTCCAAGAGAGAAAGATCTAAAGGTCAGTTAGAAGTCGGTTCTGACTTGATGGTACATTACTCTCTCTCCACACACACAGAGTACTATGTAGTATTAAATAATTAAGCCTTCAATTATATGAAGGGTTACATGTAGCCATCTCACTTGCAGATTCATGGAACTCTGGCAATATTGCGGGTTAAGTGTGGAGAAGTCATCTGTGGTCTAAATGCACCATCCCACCCTTAAGAGAAAGATGAGGCTTTCATAAAGATTTAGAGCCTCAGGAACCCTATGGAGAATTTCTACTCTGTCCTATTGGGTTCACTGTGAACTGGAATCAACCTAATTTGCAACAGTTGTTTATCACAGATCTCAATAAACATGCAAACAACAAAACATTAAAAAATTTTCCCAGTACTTATAATTGTTTGCCCTACTGGATGCTGTCCTATGGGAGGCTGGGCTCTATGAGGAGAAATGTGGCATCATGATTGGAGAAAGATTCATCAACAATCTATGTTATGCAGATGACACAACCCTGCTTACTGAAACTGGGGACAACCTGAAGCACTCATGCAGAAGGTAAAGGACTGCAGCCTTAAATATGGATTAAAGCTCAACATCAAGAAACAAAGATTCTCACCACTGGGCTGATTGGCAGCATCATGCTAGATGGTGAAGAGACTGAAATTGTGAAAAGCTTTAGTTTGCTTGGCTCCACAATCAACATTCTTGTCACTAGAGCCAGAAAATTAAAAGACATTACACTGGGAAAGTCTGCTGTCAGAGACTTCTCCAAAGTACTGACAAGTAATGATGGCAGTCTGGAGACTAAGGTGCACCAGATACAGACCATGGTCTTTGCAATCTCTTGCTATGCATCAGAGAGCTGGACAATGAATACGGATGATAGAATTGATGCCTTTGAGCTGTTTGTGGTACTAGAGACACCATGAATGCTAAGAGAAGAAACAGGTTTGCCTTGGAGAGTGTGAAACAAAACTGCTCCTGGAAGGCAAGGATTCTGAAGCTTTGTCTCGACTTGCTGCAAAGAGGGACTAGTCCTGGGAGGGGGATGTCACGCTTGGGATGGTGGAGGTACATCGCAGGAGAGGAAGAACCTCGATGAGATGGATTGATTCAGTGACTGGGGTAATGGGGGTAGGTGTGTCAGAGACAGTGAGATTGGCACAGGATAAAGCAGGGTTTAGGGCTGTTGTACATAGGGTCCCTGTGAGAGTAGGCAACTCGGCCTGTAACAACAACAACTGGATGTAGTCAGTTGTTCTTTGTACCCATGTAAATATTTTCAGAGAAATTCTTAAAACACACAGACACACAAAACACAAAACCAAAAATAATACAAAAACAAAACCCACAAACTTGTTTCTGCAACCAATTACTAAAAGTCTTGACAAGATTCATCTCAGCTAACATTACTTAGAAAAGATAGCCCTTCCAAGAGGTATATTTTCTCCAGACAGAAAATACTATTTATTTACACTAT